TCACTGTGTTAGCCAGGATGGTCTCGATCTCCTGACCTCGTGATCCGCCCGTCTCGGCCTCCCAAAGTGCTGGGATTACAGGCTTGAGCCACCGCGCCCGGCCTTTTTCTATTTTAGTTACTACATACTTTATCAGACTCAAGATGAAACACTGTGGGCTGACTTAACAGTGATGACTAAAGTGAGGTCCAGGATGCTATTTTACTAGAAATCCTACCTCTAGGAGTACCTTCTAAGGGAATTTTCAGATATGCAAATCCAAGGTACAAAGGGCATCACTGCAGTATTATTTACGGAGTGAAAAACTGGCCTAAGTGTAGAACAATCTGAGAATGATTAAATATGTTATGGTGCAGAAATAGGCTTTTGAAGAATTTTTAATGACTAGGAAATGCTCATTAAATAAACGTAAGTAGAAAAGCAGGCTTCAAAACTGTTTACAATTGGATCACATTTGGTAACTATGTAAGCACATTTGCAGAGAAAACAAAACCCTAGAGAAATGTATCAAGATGTTCACAGTGGAGTTTCTGAGGGTGGAACTTAAGTATGGTTTTTGTTTACATTTTCTTTATATTTTTTGGTGCCTTCCATGTTTTACACAGGAACACACACAGTTTTTATATTTGGGAAAAACATTAAGTCATAAAACCAAAACATTTAAAGAAAGAATCCTTCAGAAGACATACAGTGGACTGAGAGGAACTAGGAATTGAACCCATGTTTCCTAACCTCTAGTTATTTGGGTGTTTTAAAGCCCAGAATGCCACATAATAGAGACAGGTGTTGTTACTTTTGAAAAAATAAATAAATAAATAAATAAATAAATAAATTATTATTATTATTATTATTTGAGACGCACTCCCGCCTTGTTGCCCAGGTTGGAGTGCAGTGGCGTGATCTTGGCTCACTGCAACCTCCGCCTCCTGGGTTCAAGCAATTCTCCTGTCTCAGAGTGGGATTACAGGTACGCACCACCATGCCCGGCTAATTTTTTGTATCTTTAGTAGAGACGGGGTTTGTCCATGTTGGCCAAGCTGTTCTCAAACTCCTGACCTCATGATCCGCCCACCTCGGCCTCCCAAAGTGTTGGGATTATAGGCGTGAGCCACCATGCCCGACTGGTGTTGCTACTTTTCAACTTACTTTGCTCTGGGAAGAAAAGCTACGTGAAATCTCTGGGTTAAAAAATTACAGAGCCCAGCGCAATAGCAAGTAACTGCAGTCCTCAGGAGGCTAAGGCAGGAGTATTGCTTGAGCCCAGGAGTTTGAGGCTGTAGAGTGATATGATTGAGTCTGTGTATAGCCACTGCACTCCAGCCTGGGCAATACAGCCAACACCCCATCTCTAACATTAAAAAAAAAAAAAAAAAAGATAAATGAAAAGATACAGGGCCGGATGCGGGTGCGGTGGCTCATGCCTGTAATCCCAGCACTTTGGGAGGCCGAGACAGGCGGATCATGAGGTCAGGAAATCGAGACCATCCTGGCCAACACGGTGAAACCCCGTCTCTACTAAAAAATACAAAAAACTAGCCGGGCGAGGTGGCGGGCGCCTGCAGTCCCAGCTACTCAGGAGGCTGAGGCAGGAGAATGGCATAAGGCGGAGCTTGCAGTGAGCTGAGATCCGGCCACTGCACTCCAGCCTGGGCGACAGCGCGAGACTACGTCTCAAAAAAAATAAAAAATAAAAAAAAAAAAAAAAGAAAGAAAGAAAAGAAAAGATATATAGATATAGATGAGGACATCTGGGGAGAATAGCAGGGACTTCTTAAGTATAGGATACAATTTGGTATTGAATAATCACAACCATTTGTTTTTACATGGGGGAGAAACATCCTTGGCCCACAGCAGAATGGACGAAAGCCATCCATCCACTCTTTTGGAAGGAGTTTTTTCAAAAAAATTCCGTGGTTTAGCTGGGCACGGTGGCTCACACCTGTAATCCCAGCACTTTGGGAGGCTAAGGTGGGCAGATCATAAGGTCAGGAATTGAAGACCAGCCTGGTCAATACGGTGAAACCCTGTCTCTACTAAAAATACAAAAAAAAAAAAAAACATTAGCCAGGCGTAGTGGCGGGCACCTGTAATGCCAGCTACTCAGGAGGCTGAGGCAGGAGAATTGTTTGAACCCAGGAGGAGGAGGTTACAGTGGGCCAAGATTGCGCCATTGCACTCCAGCTGGGCGACAGGGTGAGACTCTGTCTCGGGGAAAAAAAAAAAAAAATCCGTGGTTTTTTAAAAAAAGAAAAGCTAACTAACACAAACAAACAGGACAAGAGACATATCTAAATAGACAAATAACAGAATTCCCAAATTCCCATGCCTCTGCACGCAGGACCTTGCTAATAAACCTCCCATTTGGAGTCCTACACGTTAAGGAAGATTACTAAGAAGAATTTGGAGTGCTCACTTTGGCAGCACGTATACTAAAACTGGAACAATACAGAGGAGATTAACCTGCCCCTTGCATAAGGATGACATGCAAATCTGTGAAGCATTCCACATTTTTTTAAGAAAGTTTTTTTAAAGAAAAAAAAAAAAATGAAACAGCTTGGAAAACATCAGAGAAAGCCAGCAGACGATCCAGGCCACTGGAGCCTATTCAGCCGAGCCTGGGCTCCTGCCCCGTTCAGCTGTGTGCCTGGGCCTGCAGCTCAGCAGGAGAGGGACCTTGCAGGACTCACACCTTGGCCTGAGAGGCCAGAGTAATAAAATTAGGATTATTTATGATGCAGAAGTGATTTAATAACATTTTTCAAGAACCTGAAGGATTTATGTAGAGGAACTGCTGTTCTAGTAACTAAACCCTTTTGGATGGTCTCCAAGATAAACCAGGCTTGTCTAGCTTCCGCCCTGAGCCCCTCCACCTCTTCCAGTTGCTCTTGGCAAATAATCTCTTCCACTTTACCGGAGGGTGATGGTCAAGGAGATGACCTTCCTGGCTGCTTTATCTACCCTCCTCCCCACCTCAAAATATCTCCCAACATCTCTCTTTGTTTCTTCACGTCACAAAGGAAGAATCAAAGGAGGAGGGAGCTAACATTTATTGACTGCCTGCTGCGTGCCAGCAGCTTGCAGAAACATTACCTCATTTAATTCCCACAAACACCCTGTGAGGTAGGCATAATTATCCCTGTTTTGCTTGTTAGGGGATGGAGGAATATTCTTTTAGCAACTGGTATGAGAATTTCTCCTGGGGGCGAGGCGTGGTGGCTCGGGGCTGTAATCCCAGCACTTTGGGAGGCCAAGGAGGCTGGATGACTTGAGGTCAAGAGTTTGAGACCAGCCTGGCCAACATGGCGGAACCCTGTCTCTATTAAAAATACAAAAAATTAGCCGGGTGTGGTGGTGCACGCCTGTAATCCCAGCTTCTCAAGAGGCTGAGCCATGAGAATAGCTTGAGGCCAGGAGGTAGAAATTGCAGTCCACACTCCAGCCTGGAGACAGAGCAAGCAGAGCAAGACTCTGTCTCAAAAAAAAAAAAAAAAAAAAAAAAAAAGAATTTGTCTTGGGGAGAGAATCATCTTCATGGGAAAATGCCTTTATCAGCCTCTTTGGACAGTGTGGAGGGAGGGGAGAGAGATGAGGAAATGTGTGTGGAATGGGCAGGGTGAGGGGACAGTGGGCTCCTCACTCAGAAAGAAGAGGGGAGGGGCAGAGGCAAGAAAAGAGCAGGAGCTTTAGAGAAAGGCTTTGGGTGGCACAATATGCCCCTACCCTCAAAAGCATCTCTCTTAAAATCTCAAGTAAATTTACTAAGCTCATGAAATGCTGAAAGAAAATTGTTGAATGTGCTTTCTGGCATAGGGTGAAACAAAGCCACGTGTGTGTCACCTGAGATGGTGACAGGCAGACCTGTAAAGGAAGTACATTTCCTAAATTCAAGAGCAGGAAGGCCCCCCACCCCCACCCGTTGACATCTGAGTTCTGTAGAGAAGGGAAAACTGAGGCTCAGAAGTTAATCAACTTCACTAAAGTCACACAGCATCACTAACAAAGGGAATTGATCCCAGGTCTGTTTATCTCGAATGCCTATTGTTTTTACTCTACTCCACATGCTGCTCGAGGAAAGACAGCTTCTTCCTCTCCCAGGCCAACTCTTCCACTGCTGTACTCCATCTAATCATAGTAATTAATAGTAGTGAATATGCATTGAGTGTCTACCATATGCCAGACATTGTTGCATGCAGTAGCTCATTTGCTCCTCACAACGACACTATATTTTTGACCATATAATTATTCACATTTTATTATATGGAAACTGCTGCTCAGAGAGGTTAAGACACTACTAGCTCAAAGTCCCACTGCTGTAAGTGGTGAAACCAACATTTGAATCACAGCCTATGGTCTTAACTGCATTGCACTCTCTCATCTCATCCCTTCTCACCTCTTGAAAGAACAGTTCTTCAAATTAACCCATCTAATTAACCTGTTCTCTCCCTCCTGCTGCTAGGGTGGGACCTGGTGGGGTTTGCAGAGGTCACGCAACACTGAACAGGGAAGGTGTTCTGATGGGCTTGGGTCAAAGCTCAGGCTAATAGTATAACTTGGGGGTTGGTAAATTTTTTCTGTAAAGAGCCAGACAGTAAATATTTCAGGCTTTATGGGCCATATGGTCTCTGTAGCCAACTGCTCAACTCTGCTGTTGTAACATGAAAGTAGCCATAGTCATAAGTGAATGGGCAGGACTGTGTTCCAATAAAGCTTTATTGATGGACACTGACATTTGAATTTCCTAAAATTTTTATGTGTCACAAAATACTATTCTTCTTTTGCTTCTTTTCTCCAATCATATAAAAAGGTAAAAACCATGCTTAGCGTAAAAGTCATATAAAAATGGGAGGCAGGCTGGATTTGGCCTGCAGGTGACAGTTCGCTGACCCTAGTTTTACCAAACCTTCCCTTCTTTTGGATTCTACATCCAGCTGGGCCAACTCCAGATTAAACAGCTTCTAGGTCGGGCTTTGAGCCTGCCCTCCTTTGCCCGCTTCTCTTACCTACGAAACCACACAGGTCCAGTCCACAAGCCTCTGCTCATCGCTGCCCCATCAGGAGCTCTCCTCCAGTCTTCTAGCATCTCCTGACCAACCACAAGCTGCTGTCTGCTGTCCCTGCAGGAGGTGGCCATAAAGAAAGATGGAACTGCCATCATTTAGATGACCCTGGTGAAGCAAAGCCCCAAGGACAGGTTAAAGGGGTATCACGCAAACACTATGACGAGCCTTGCAAATAATACGCTTCAAATAGACTGCACATCATAAAAGGAAATCTCTAGGAAAGGTGGAGAAGACATTGCTAACAATCTGGGTCCAAGGAAGGAGTCCTGGAGACAGAAATGGAAATGCCTTTCTCCTGTAGGAGACCAAGGCCAGAGGACAAGATATGGAGGACAGGAGTGCACCAGGGTCACAGGACAGTTTAGGTCTAGTACCACAGAGAGGACTAAAAAGCACTGACAGTCGGGCGCGGTGGCTCATGCCTGTAATCCCAGCACTTTGAGAGGACAAGGCGGGTGGATCACCTGAGGTCGGGAGTTCGAGACCAGCCTGGCCAACATGGCAAAACCCCATCTCTACTAGAAATACAAAAATTAGCCAGGCATGGTGGCATGTGCCTGTAATCCCAGCTACTCGGGAGGGAGGCTGAGACACGAGAATTGCTTGAACCCAGGAGGCAGAGGTGCAGTGAGCTGAGATCGTGGCACTGCACTCCAGCCTAGGTGACAGAGCAAGACTCTGTCTCAAAAAAAAAAAAAAAAAAGCACTGACTAAGGAAAGGCTAAGAATAACAACAACAACAACAAAAAACTGCTAACTTTTTTTTATTAAACACCTATTGTGTTCTAGGCATATGTTGCTGGTTTTTAAAAAATAATACTGTCTCTTATTTAACTCTTTCAACACTCTGGCAAAATAGTCATTTAAAAAATCTTGCATTCATTTTTTTAAAATAAATATTGTGCATCTTTTATGTGGCAGACACTATGCTAGATGCTGAGGATAAGCAAGTAAGCAAAAATAGACCTTGTGCCTGCTTTCATGGAGATTATACAGGGATTGACAAATTTTTTTTCCGTAAAGGACCAGATTGTAAGTATTTTAGGTTTTGTGGGCCATAAGGCCTCTGCTGCAACTACTCAACTCTGCCACTGCAGTGCAAAAGCAACCACACACAATATGTAAAAAAGTAGGTGTGGCTGCGTGCCAATAAAACTTTTTTATGAAAATAGGCTTCAGGCCAAAGCCGGCTACAGTTTGCTGACCCCTGTTCTAGTAGGAGACAAACATTAAGTAAATAATTACACAAAAAGCAATCATTAAGTGACATCAGGTAGAAGTTCCTGATACTAAAAAACACTATAATCAGAGAGATTTAACCTATTCAGGGAGATCAGAGGTTTCCCTGAGGGAGCAGGTCTTAGATCTAATGTAGCAGTTAATTAGTGAGGTGAGAGTAAGACTATTGCAGACAAAGGAAACAGCTTGTGCAAAGGCCTGGGCCAGAAAGAAGCATAGTAAACCCAAGTTAAAAGAGGTTTATAGGGCTAGCGCGAGGTGGCTCACGCCTATAATCCCAGCACTTTGGGAGGCCGAGGCAGGCAGATTACCTGAGGTTGGGAGTTTGAGACCAACGTGGAGAAACCCTGTCTCTACTAAAAATACAAAATTAGCTGGGCGTGGTGGCACATACCTGCAATCCCAGCTACTAGGGAGGCTGAAGCAGGAGAATCGCTTGAACCTGGGAGGCGGAGGTTGCGGTGAGCCGAGATCGTGCCATTGCACTCCAGCCTGGGCAACAGGAGCGAAACTCCGTCTCAAAAAAAAAAAAAAAAAAAAAAAAAAAGAGGTTTATAAGCCTGGTGCGGTGGCTCATGCCTGTAATCCCAACATTTTGGGAGGCCGAGGGCGGGTGGATCACAAGGTCGGGAGTTCAAGACCAGCCTGGCAAAGATGGTGAAACCCCATCTCTACTAAAAATACAAAAATTAGCTGAGCGCGGTGGCGGGTGCCTGTAATTCCAGCTACTTGCGAGGCTGAGCCAGATAATTACTTGAACTCAGGAGGCAGAGGTTGCAGTGAGCTGAGATCTTGCCACTGCACTCCAGGCTGGGTGACAGAGTGAGATTCTGTCTCAAAATATAAATTAATTAATTAATTAATTAATTAAAAGGTTTATATAGTTGGGGCAGAAAAAGTCAGTGAGTGTGAGCTCAGACTGAAAACAGCAGGGAGTGCTAAGCCCTGTAAGGTCTTGTGGATCTTGTTAGGGGATAAGGTCCCTATTTAAATACAGAGACTGCTGCACAGGGAGTTAAGTAACACGCTCAAGGTCATGTAGCCCGCAAAAGGTGGAGCTAGAAGCCTTATCTCTAGACCCAACTTCCGTATTCCCTTCGTGTTCATTTTGGTTCTGTTTGCCCAGTGTCTTTACAAATTTTCCTCTGTGAAATTCCCAAATCATTCAACAAAATTAAAAGGAAAGAGAAAGCCGAGTCCTGCACCTAGGCTAGGAGGCTAGCAGAGCCCTGACACCAGCGGGAAACCAGAGTGAACCTGGCAGATAAATCCTACTGTGGAGGACCTACAGGTCTGGGGAGAGCTGTGCTCCTACTTCTCCTTTTTTCTCTGATGACCCCTTATATGAGTCTTAGCAAAGCTTCCTCTGTCCTTGATGTCAAAGGAACCTTCAGAATTATCGCCCAGACTCCTCCCCCTGCGTTGCCAGGCCCTCTGGATCTTGCCCTGCCTGCCTCTGCACTCTGTCCTCACTGCCTCACTTGCACGCTCCCCTTGGGGACACTTGCATGGCTTGCTGCTCTGTGAACACTCCACGTCCCCTCCTCAGTTCCACGCTGTTCCGCTGCTGGAAGAGCACATGCCTTGCCCTTCCCCTTTGTCTGGAAACCTTCTCTTCTTGAAGAATCCACGAAAATGTAGCACATAGACACCATGGAATACTATGCAGTCACAAAAAAGGATGAGTTCATGTAATTTGCAGGGACATGGATGAAGCTGGAAACCATCATTATCAGCAAACTAACACTGGAACAGAAAACCAAACACCACATGTTCTCACTCCTAAGTGGGAGCTGAACAATGATAACACATGGACACAGGGAGGGGAACATCACACACTGGGGCCTGTCAGAGGGTTGGGGGGCTAGGGGAGGGATAGCATTAGGAGAAATACATCATGTAGATGACGGGTTGATGGGTGCAGCAAACCACCACGGCACATGTATACCTATGTAACAAACCTGTACATTTTGAACATGTATCCCAGAACTTAAAGTATAATATAATAAAACAAAACAAAACAAAAAACCTTCAAAGAGGAATCTCCAAAAGCAAAATAAATAAATAAAAGAATCCACCTAGGAGGCCGGGCTCAGTGTCTTACAGCTGTAATCTCAGCACTTTGGGAGGCAGAGGTGGGTGGCATGTGCTGCAATCCCAGCTATTTGGGAGGCTGAGGCAGGAGAATTGCTTGAACCCAGGAGGTGGAGGTTGCAGTGAGCCAAGATCATGCCACTGCACTCCAGTCTCGGTGACAAGAGCAAAACTGAAATCAAAACAAAAACAAAACAAAAAAACAAAAACAAAACCAAATCCACCCAGGAATGGTTCCTGATGCTTCCAGTTCTGCAGGAAGCTGTGCTCCCCTTCAATGCCCACACGGTTCTTGGTGTGAATGGCTAACATCCTAAACTACAGTTCATGTCGGCCTCCCACACTGTACCCTGAGCTAGCAAAGGGCTTATGCGATGGGCGTTTGGCACTTTCATATGGAGGTTAACCCGCTGACTTGTTAACTCCACTTATTCCCAGCTCTTAGGCATCTGCATATTTCTATCCTTCAGATTTCCTAGCACTAGGCCTGATAGCAGCACTTCTCAAAGTGGGGTCCCCAGTCCAACAGCATCAGCATCACCTGGGAACTCTCTAGAAATGCAAATTCTAGAGCCCTCATTGGACCTCTGAGATCAGAAACCGGGGGTGTGCAAGCGATGTGTGCTTTCATAAGCCCTCCAGGTGACACTGAGGCAGGCGAATGTTTGAGAACCACGGCCTCACCAGAAGTTATTGCTCATTAAATTGTTGATTCCCTGAGGATGGTAACTGGTTGTTTTCAGCCTAGAAAAGAAAAAGAGTAACTGAGAAAATGACACGAAAAGCTTTTACTAGGCTGGGTTTTTAGAAAAGAAATTTTCTGACACGATATTTCAAATATGGGACTTTCAAAGAAGGCTCTGCTTTGTAAGCGTTGAAAAACAAGATCGATTCTCCTCTGTCTGGCTTGGGTGTGGTCTTGCTGAAGGGCAGGGGTTCGGACGAGATAACCTCGCCAGATGCCCTCCACTGCTCAGATTCTCTGCTTCTCGATATTCTATGCTCCAGGAAAGAAATATAAGTTAGGGAGCAGGGCATTATTGCTAGGGGACTTTGGGCTTTCAGCCCACAAGGAAGTATATACTTCTTTCCTCTTCTAAGGTGAGTCTTTGCCAGTCTATACTCATAAAAAGAGATGACCAGGACCTTTGAGAAAGGTAATTGTTTGTTTTTAGGTCATAAAAATGAATCCTTGCTTTGTTTTCAAAGGAACATGCTCTTCATGCAATCTATACAATCTGAATGACAAGTAGGTGAGGTCCAAGATTGGAAAGATAAAACTTCATTGTTGGTTTTTGGCCTGGAGCTGAAACAATGGGACAAAGGAGTGGCTTGTTGGTATAAGCTCTATAAAACACAATAATATTAGTCATGTAAACAGGAGAAAATAGGAGAGGCTTAATGAGATAAATTACACCGAGTCACCACATTAGGGATTAAAAGATTCTGATTAAGCAAACGCTAAAAAGTACAAAAGAAAGGATAAAGGGAAGCGTGGTAACTTTAGTGTTAGAAAACAATGGGTCCTTCTATCTAGGGTGCTGTTTGACAAGGGGGAGCTTTGAGAGGCTGCCTGAGCCAACTGTGAGCGTCCATTAAGATCCCACTTTTCATCCAAAAAAAAAAAAAAAAATCCTATACTCAAACCAGGGCTCACAAAGCCAACACATTCTTTTTTTCTTCCTTATTCTTTTTCTTTCCCTCTTCACAATTGCAAAGCAATCCATTTTGCTAGATGAGTCTGTGAAGGGAATAAAAGCACTCCAGGTTTCTGAATCTATTAGCATTCCCAGATTTGCTGGCCTAACTTCCAAAGTGTGACTGGCTGCCATTCTCAGGCTAAGGGGAAAATAGCCAGCTCATTGATGTTTAAGATTGCCTGTGTACCTGTGAGAACAGCCACTTTTTCATAACTATTTTTATAAGGACATTTGAACAACTGAAGTAGAGGGTACAGATGTGTACTATTTCAACTAACAGAGCCGCTGGAGCCTTGAGTCAGTATTACCTGCTCATCACGTAGCTGTCTGTATTAAAGTGCACATCTACAGATGAGAAGATATAAAACTCTGTCAAAACGTAGAACAGCGAAACTCTCAGTGGTTCGCACTTCCACATACTTCTTGGCACCGGTATAAGTGCAAGGTCGCCAAAGGCCAGCGAGCCTTTATATATATGTATATTTTGAGACAGAGTCTTGCTCTTTCACCCAGGCTGGAGCGCAGTGGCACCATCTCGGTTCATTGCAACCACTGCCTCCCAGGTTCAAGTGATTCTTGTGCCTCAGCCTCCCCAGTAGCTGGGATTAGAGGTGCGTGCCACCACAACCGGCCTGGAACAATTTTTTTTTTTTTACATAAATGTAAAACATAAGCTCCCAGAAGCAGAATTGCTTTCAAAGGGTAGGAATGTTTTAAAATTTTTGGTATTACTTACACATGCCTTTCAGAACAGTGATACTAGGCCAGGTACTGTGACTCATGCCTGTAATCCCAGCACTTTGGGAGGCCAAGGCTGGCGAATCGCTGGAACCCAGGAGTTCGAGACCAGCTGGGCAACATGGGGAAACCCCACCTCCACTAAAAATACAAAAAATTAGCTCGGTGTGGTAGTGCACACCTGTAGTCTTAGCTATGGAGGCTGAGTTGGGAGAATCACCTGGGCCCAGGGAGGCACAGGCTGCAGTGAGCCAAGATCCCAGCCTGGGAGTACACTCCAGCCTGGGAGTACACTCCAGCCTGGGAGTGAGAACCTGTCTCAACAACGAAAGAAAAGTGATATGAAATTCACTTCGACTAACAGTGAATGATTTTGCTTATTTCCTTGATTCCCTGAACCATACTTTTTCGTACAAGTATTTGCCAATTTGAGGAGCTAAAAATGACATTCCATTTTTGTTTTAATAAGTATTTCATATTCATGTTCTATATATAGAGAGAGAAAATTGTTTTTTCTTTGGGAATTGCGTATTCATGTGTTTGCACATTTTTTTTTTTACTGAAATAGCGGTAGTTTTTTGCATGGATTATAAAAACAAGGCTGGGACCCATAGATCCGACCTGGCAACACTCAGCGATGTCTCCCGAGACCAGCCTGGCTGGGCCAACATAGCAAGACCCCATCTCAAATTTTAAAAATTAAAAATTTTAAACATTAAAAATAAATAAATAGGGCCAGGTGTGGTGGCTTACACCTGTAAAACCAACACTCTGGGAGGCTGAGACAGGAGGATCACTTGAGCCCAGGAGTTTGAGACCAGCTTGGGCAACAGCAAAATCCTGTGTCTATGAAAAATAGAAAAATTAACCGGGTGTGGTGGTGCATGCCTGTAGTCCCAGCTACTCGGGAGGCTGAGGTGGGAGAATGGTGTGAACCCGGGAGACGGAGCTTGTAGTGAGCAGAGATCGCGCCACTGCACTCCAACCTGGAGGAGAGTGTGAGACTCTGTCTCAAAAAATAAAATAAAATAAAGTAAAATGCAATTGCCTCATCCTCTGAGGTGGGACCCATAAATCTGCATTTTCACCAAGCATCAGAGAGAATTCTTCTGCAAGGTGGCACAAGAAAATTTTCAACATTGATTATCTGATTCGATACATAGGTATACATCCACATCCACATCTGTATAGTACCCACGGATCATCTCCAGCTGTACATCTCCCAGGTACCTACAGCTCAATCCAAAACAGAATTCAACACCTCTCTACCCAAAACTCTTCCTCCTCTAAGTATCATTTTTCTTTCTGACACACACCACGACGTTTCCTTGCCCCAGATCTGAATCAGCCATGTCTTCAGGGAGCTCTGGGTACATTCTCATGGGTAATGACATTCAGATACTAAGATATTGGCACTAGGTATCATTCGAATTCTCTTGTCTTAATTTGAACTGTTTTCTCAGAATGCAGTTCCAACAGTGGGATTATTAAATTAGGAAAGGTGATATATTTTATGGCTCTTAATTCAATATTGACAAAGGTACAGCCAGTCCACTGCTGGGCTCTGTTAGGACTGTATTCCTTTGCCTCTCCTTCGCCTGTTAGTGTCAGTCGCTAATATTAAAGCAGTAGCATTGGCTGACAGTGTCCTCAAATGTGAGAGCTTCAGAGAACAGTTCTGACGCACAGCTCCTGTCATTCCCCTCTCTGGTCCTCTGGGGATCTTTGCTGAAGAGACACATTCTGAACTAGAGCCAGAGAGGGAATAAAGAACTAGCTGGGTAAGTGCATAAACAGCTCGACTTCTACCTCATCCCCAAATTAGTGCAGCTCTGGTTAATTTTGTGTGTGTGTGTGTGTGTGTGTGTGTGTGTGTTGAGATGGAGTCTCACACTGTCACCCAGGCTAGAGTGCAGTGGCCTGATCTAGGCTCACTGCAACCTCTGCCTTCCGGTTTCAAGTGATTCTCCTGCCTCAGCCTCCTGAGTAACTGAGATTACAGGCGCCCACCACCACGCCTGGCTAATTTTTGTATTTTTAGTAGAAACAGGGTTTCACCATGTTGGCCAGGCTGGTCTCGAACTTCTGACCTAGTGATACGCCCACCTCGGCCTCCCTAACTGCTGGGATTACAGGCATGAGCCACTGCACCCGGCCAACTCTGGTTGATTTTTAGGGGAAGACATGGCCAAGGCCGGAACTCCTGAGCAGGGCATTCCACTTCTGTTTCTTTCCTGAGTCTAAGCAGCATGAGAATGTACAAGGAAGGCTAGCCTGATCCTTTGGGGTGGCAGGAGGTAAGAAAGAATAAAATGGAATGTGGTTTCTGAACTTCAATGAACAGTAATGACACACGCTGATAAATGTGGCCCAGGTTAGTATACTGAGGGGAATGCAGGGTGGTGAGGGAGTAGTCAAGAGGAAGGTACAAAGGGGACAGAAGTATGACGGCAAAGCGGGCTCTCCTAGAACCATTTTAGATGTGCAGGAGAAGAAATTCCCTCTCCCAAATCTACTGCCAGGCATACCCTCCAGCCATGTTTACCTCTCCCTTTTGGTGGTAAAGCCCACCGAAACTAACTCCAAAAGAGACTGAGAGCCCTAGAAAGAACAGGTCTTGCTTCAAGCTGTTTCAATATCTTTTTTTTTTTTTTTGAGAAGAAGTCTAGCTCTGTTGCCCAGGCTGGAGTGCAGTGGCACGATCTTGGCTCACCGCAACCTCCACCTCCAGGGTTCAAACAATTCTCTGCCTCAGCCTCCTGATTAGCTGGGATTACAGGTGGCCGCCACCGCACCCAGCTAATTTTTGTTTTATTAGAAACAGGGTTTCACCACCTTGGCCAAGCTGGTCTTGACCTCCCCACCTTGTGGTCTACCCACCTTGGCCTCCTAAAGTGCTGGGGTTACCGGCGTGAGCTACCGCACCGAGCCTGTTTCAACATCTTTAAGGACTAGAAGTGAAGAAAAAGATGTTAGGTAAGAACCAGACCATATATTGTTTGACTTGACAAATCTTGTACTTATCTAAAATGTGCTAATACTCTGTTGCTTCTACTGTCTGTGAGCTCAAGAGACACAGAGTTTCCTTCCTAGGCTTTTCTAGTGCTCCTGCGTCATAGAGATCCTAATATCTTCTGATTGACCTCTTCGTATTCTATTTATTTATTTATACTTTAATTTTAGAGACAGGGTCTCACTTTGTCTGCAACCTCGAACTCCTGGGCTCAAGCCGTCTTCCTGTGTTAGCCTCCCAAGTAGCTAGAAATATAGGCGTGTGCCACCAAACTCTCAGCTAATTTTTTGTTTCTTTTTCTTTTTGTAGAGATGAATGTCTCACTCTATTATTGCCCAGGCTGGTCTTGAACTCCTGGTCTCAAGTGATCCTCCAGCCTCGGCCTCTCAAAATGTTGGGATTACAAGTATGAGCGACCTCACCGGGCCCAAATTAGGATAACAAATAGAAATTTTAAATTTAAATTTTCATGCCATAAGTTTTTATACCTTTAGTGCTAATACGTGTTTGGAAAGAATTAATACGTAGAAAACAAGTGTTATTGGAAAAGTTCAGAAACAGTTGCTTAGGCCTAGCACAGCAGCCAGATTATGTTTCGTGGTGATGTATCCGTGGTTTCTATTTTAGACTGCATAGATAGGACAGCCATTTTCCACCAGGTAAATTAGTCTTCATCTGGTTGTGCTCTTCCAGGAGCACAGCGTCAAGACTCAGTGACACTCATGACACCATTTCAAGTCACATGGCCCCACCACTTCATCCAGGTCTCTCTGAAGCTAACCCTTATTTGACCCGTAGCATATATTCTGTGATAGTCTTTTACTATTACTCATAATTTAAAGTATGAGTTTTGAATTTCTGGCTATCCTGTATGTTTTGAGATAAGAAGTAACATTTATGTAAATAGTTCCTTATGTCCTCAATACCTAGAAGAGAACTGTATTTTTTGGTAGATCTAAATAAATACTGGCTGATAACTTGTTACCTGGAACAGATTATGCTTGAAAACTTTAACTTCCATTAACGCACACACACCCATCCTTGAAAGTGGATATGGGGCAGCTAAATCTTGATAAGTAAGGGATGAGACAATGTACACCAACTAAGGACCAACAGCCCAGGAGTTTGAATTCTAGGAGGACCATGAGAGGTGTACAGCTGGACTTTGATGAGAAGGTCATTAGCCCCTAAAAGAGTTGTCATAGCTTTTGGGGAGAAAATGCTTCACCAAAGAAATTCTATTTATTTTATGATGAGATCGGGCACATTCAGGATGGTATGGCCTATTTATTCTATTTATTTTAAAGGCTTGCTGGAAGCCATCTAGCCACTGGCCAACTGCAAACTATGTGCACTTTTCTGGGTCCCAAAGCCAACTTAAGAGGCTGCATCCCTAGCGTTCCTTTTACCTGTGAAAGAACTGTTTTTTTCTATACAGACCTCTGAGCTACACTCAGTGAAACTAATTCCAACTTGGGATTCTTATTAATTATCTGTTGAGATTGTAGAACTAGGCAGTATCCTTTCGGAATATTTTTCAAGAAATGAGTATAATAGTATTCACAAAAGGAAAACATCAGGCTCTTTTTGCAACGCAAATAACAACTCTCAACATTAATCCCTTCCACCTGCCACCACCACCACCATCACTACCTTCCTAACTTTCCCTAATACCATCCTGGCTGCTATCTTCAACCCAAAAGGATGATGGGGAAGAGAATATTCCCTCCTTATGAAAGAGCTTCCTAGGGCTGGTGCAGTGGCTTATATCGGTAATCTCACCACTTTGGGAAGCTGAAGACGAGGATCACTTGAGCCCAGAAGTTCAAGACCAACATGAGCAATATGGTGAGACTTCATCTCTCCAAAAAGTTTAAAAATTAGGCCGGGTACGGTGGCTTACACCTGTAATCTCAGCATTTTGAGAGGCCAAGGCAGGTGGATTGCTTGAGCTCAGGAGTTTGAGACCAGCCTTGGCAACATGATGAAACCCTGTCTCTACAAAAAATACAAAAATTAAGCCGGGCGCGGTGGCTCACGCTTGTAATCCCAGCACTTTGGGAGGCTGAGGCGGGCAGATCACAAGGTCAGGAGTGCAAGACCAGCCTGGCCAACATAGTGAAACCCCGTCTCTACTAAAAATACAAAAATTAGCCAGGCGTGGTGGCACATGCCCGTAGTCCCAGCTACTCAGGAGGCTGAGGCAAGAGAATTGCTTGAACCCTGGAGGTGGAGGTTGCAGTGAGCCAAGATGGTACCACTGCACTCAGGCCTGTGCTACAGAGTGAGACTCTGTCTAAAAAAAAAAAAAAAAAAAAAAAAATACAAAAATTAGTCAGGCCTGGTGGTACACACCTGTGGTCCTGCTACTTGGGAGGCTGAAGTGGGAGGATCGCTTGAACCCAGGAGGTCGAGGCTGCAGTGAGCTATGACTGTGCCACTGCACTCCAGTCTGGGTGACAGAGCAAGACCTTGTATATGTATTTAAAAAGTAGGCTGGGTGTGGTGGTTCATGTCTGTAATCCCAGCACTTTGGGAGGCCAAGGCGGGAAGATCACAAGGTCAAGAGATAGAGACCATCCTGGCCAACATGGTGAAATGACATCTCTACTAAAAATACAAAAATTGGCTGGGCATGGTGGTGCATGCCTGTAATCCCAGCTACTCAGGAGGCTCAGGCAGGAGAATTGCTTAAACCCAGGAGGTGGAGGTTGCAGTGGAGCTGAGATCACGCCACTGCACTCCAGCCTGGTGACAGAGCGAGACTCCGTCTCAAATAAAAATAAAAATAAAAATAAATAAATAAATAAATAAATAAAGTTTCCTAGTTCTAGCCTGGTACAATCATGGACCTTCCAGTCCATGCTGTTCCTAATGTCTGCTAATGTATTAGTATGTGAATATGCATATTGAAAATAGAGGAATGTATTCCAAAGAATGTATCTGAAAACATTGGATAACATTTAACAAACTGTAAATCCTAAAGATGCCTCCCCATTTGACACTGAGGGAATTCTTAGTAAGTGAAATTTAAGAAGAAACTAAATACCACCTTCTCCTCCCCCTTGTTCATTATTCCTTTCTCTTCCCTCCTCCAACTCTGAGAGCTAGGCACTGCTTAGAGCATAAAGATAGGCTTTGTTCTATCTTCCCAAGTAGAACTTTTCTTAAACGGCTGCAATGGGGAAGGAGAGGAATAGCAATGTAAAAGCTGGTAGAATTTGTCTAGGGATACAGCAATGCTAAGCAAACGATGGCTTTGTTTGTTTTGTTTTTTGCTTGAACTGTGTAGCCAAGATTGATTACCTGATGGTCCAATATTTCCTTACTGAAAAAAGCTAAATCTAGAGAGAAAAATCCCTTCTCCTTTTCTTTCATTTTTCACAAATGAAGGTTTTGTATTTTGATTTTTTTTTTTTTTTTTGGTCTTTCTAAAGTAGGCCTGATTTGAAAGGAAAGATTTCAAATGAAAAAAGACACATAGAAGAGGTTCTAGGGAGTCTCCCAGAGAATTGTTGAATTAAAAGATAATTGGATTAGGCCAGGCGTGGTGGCTCACACCTATAATCCCAGCACTTTGGGAGGCTGAGGCAGGTGGATCACTTGAGGCCAGGAGTTCAAGACCAGCCTGGCCAACATGGTGAAAACCCATCTCTACTAAAAATATAAAAATTAGCCGGGCGTGGTGGTGCGTGCCTGTAATCCCAAGTACTTGAGAGGCTGAGGCAAGAGAATCGCTTGAATTGGGAGGCGGAGGCTGGAGTGAGCTGAGATCCCGCCACTGCACTCCAGCCAAGGTGACAGAGATAGACTTCATCTCAAAAAAAAAAAAAAAAAAGAGAGAAAAAAAAGAAAAGATAATTGAGTTTGACTTCTACCACATAGCGGCAACCCATAGCCATTAGAATTCTTATTTAACCAGGGCTCATCAATTCTCACTAAACCTTATTCACAGATTTGAGAGACCTCAACCATCACTAATAAAATTGATGATGTGAAAGGAAAATCTCCAGGAGGAAAAATGGAAAGTTCCCAGTTCAAAACGAATACTAGACCAGATCATATTCCTAAAAAGAATCCAGCTGATATCTAATTCACTTCCTAATTTCTATATGTGTTTCTCAAACTCTTTCTAACATACAACTTAATATTCATTGGGTGAGATGGCATGACATTCAAGGAGAGCATATGTGAGATCTGATTCCATTAACCTCTCAGATTAGCACCATTTCGTTCTTATTATATTATGTAAATGGGCAACTCAGGGCAGTAGTCACCAAAAATAGCTGATGTATACTGTTCATTCTTTGTTTTCCTTGCCCTCTCACCCAAAGTTTGAAAGTTTGCATTTCTAGTTTCTTTCTTTTTTTTCTTTTCTCTTTTGAGACAAGGTCTTGGCTTTGTCGCCCTGGCTGGAGTACAGTGGCGCAATCTTGGCTCACTGCAACCTCCACCTCATGGGTTCAAGCAGTTCTCTGGCCTCAGCCTCCTAAGTAGCTGGGACTATAGGCATGCGCCACCACATTCAGCTAATTTTTGTATTTTTAGTAGAGGCGGGGTTTCACCTGTTGGCCAGGCTGGTCTCCAACTCCTCACCTCAAGTGATCCACCCACCTCGGCCTCTCAAAGTACTGGGATTATAGGCATGAGCTACCGTGCCCAGCCTCTAGTGCTGTTTTTTCATGAGTATGAAACAGTCTATGAATGGATAGGGGGTGGGAGGGTATTCAAGGTCATTGGCTCCTGCCTTTCCCTGAGATCCATTTATCCTGCCCCCGAGAAATACCATGATGATGTCCTTCTTGGACCCTGGAGTTTTGGGCCGTGATTGGACTAAAGTTTCACAGAACATTATTTTTGGAGTCCATGCTGCCCTGTGATTGTCCAGGATGCATCTCTAGTAAGGGTGTTATTTTCCCAGCACCTGCTGACCTCAGACAGCGCCTTCAACATGCCTTAGGCAAAAAAAGGAAAGGGAATAATGTTCACAAAGTTAAACACTGTGTTAATTACTTTACTACCGTATCTCACTTCTCCTCTTTCAGTCCAAGAAACCACCTTGAGAG